TGACATCACGACACACACCCCATACTACCCCCCAACCCCGTCGTCATCGAGGTAGCCCCCACCACCCAGCAATCGTATGCTGGCCATGAAAGCCTTCGACAATACATTGAATTATGTTTCTTGCATTCTTCTCTTAATTGGCTGAAGGGTGCCCTGATTGGCTCACGGGGTTCTCTTTTTGTTATCAGCATTTTGAAGACTGAAGAATAAAGTCAATCACAGGTTGGCTTCAAACTGTTTGTGAGGGATTGGATGAGTGGCAACACTGTGATGTGGACATGCTCTGAGTCAGAGCATGGGTCTATCTAGCTTAGTGCTGTACATATTAGTGCTGTACCAGAAGACCATGGTGATTACTGCTGCCCTCCCTTGACATAAGAAAAGAAGGGTTTAGGAAGCCTTTTTCTGACCTTCTGTGCTGTGCTGTCTCCAGATGGGCAGCTTGGTAGCTACCACTATCATTTTCTGAATTATTGACTATTACTTGTAGCAGCTTTCCTGAATCTCAGACAAGAATCCTTTACACAGCCCTACATGGTGATACCAGAGATTAAGCTTGAAAATAAAGGCTTTATCACTGTGGTTCCCTCCTATGCCAGTGTTATCCACAAGGAAATTACAATCAATTCTAATTCCCTGGTCCTTTCTAAAGTTTTATTTTTTAAATCACAAAGTTCAGCTGGTAAATTTGCAGCTGAAATAGGAAAGAAAGGAACCTTTTCAGTATGCAAGAGAAAACTATTCTGAGCCCAGTTTGGTTGGAGCCAAGTTGTTCCTTAAGATTATTCTTCAATAAACCATTTTAACTCTAAATTCTTCTTACTGTTGAAAAATAATATACAGCAGGATTAAAAATGGTTGTTCAAGAATGCCTCAGTTTTTAGGCTATGCAGCTCTTTGGATTTGATCTCCAAAAGGTCTTTCGGAGTGCATATCTTTTGGAAGTGGAATCTGAAGTACCTAAAAGACATAATCATTTTAAGATACACATCTGGTAGCTTCAATCTTTGCTTTTTCCAGTGTTTGGTACCTTCATGCTTTTTTATTCTGGCAGAATGAAGTGCAAGACAAAAGTGGCTTTTCTATCTCTCCTATTGGATTTATTGCCTGATAGTTGCCTGTTGGGCTACTTTTTGGTTACTTTTTATGGGGAAATTCTGCTAATCTGCAAAGTGAAAGGCACTGAACATTAATTCAGGCATGTTTGGAATCATATGCATCTATGGAGCTGACCTGGTGCAGAGGAGATCCTGCTTACCACTGCTGAACATGTGGGCATTGGTGAACAATCTAACAACCACAGGTTAAAAGTACATAAAGGACATGAGCTTTAACATGAGGTTAAAAGTACATAAAGGACATGAGCTTTGAAGGTAACCTGAGGCAAACTGTCTTGGTTTCCCTTTCAAGGTATCTCTAGTGGAAACTTCATTTCTCTTCAAATGAGCCCTGAAGACAGGGCATTCTGATCCAGCTTTCATTCCACCAAGGTCGCCGTGGAATAACAGAAGCTATAATGCAATGGTGCAAGTACACATTAAACAAGCAAAAGACTCTTGTAAGATAGCTTTACAGTATAGTAAGGTAAATGTTCCTGTGAGCTGATATAATTCCAAATGTCTGAAACATTAAAGTTATTGTGGGCAGGCACCATTTATTATCAAGTCTATCAGGCAATGTCAGGAAAAATCAAAATAGAAGTGGGAAGACATATTTCATTTGACCTTTACAGGCTAATTTAATCAAGTCAGCATGATACACAGTATGAAAGAACATCTGCTGATAAGGACAGAACTATAGCTTTCTTTGTCTTGGATCTGGAAGTAGCTCAGAGGCTTCATTAACTATTCAGTGTCTTCAGCAATTCTTAGATATTGTTTTCACAAACTGACTGACTGTTTCCTGTTTCCTCTCCTTACATAAAGAAATATTTCCATTCTGTGTCCAATTAAGGGCCTTCAAAGGCTTTTGACGTACAATTAACATGCCACACATTATTTTATTAATTGAACGTTCCAAATATCCAGGTCCTTGACACAGTGACTTTGCTGTTGCTTGCTTACAAACAGTTCCATATTGGTGATTAAAACTGATTTGGATCTGATCTTGTTTGAAATTTGTGAATAATTGTATCCAGTTTAAAAATGTTAATTCCTGCCCCCCCCCCCTGAAGAAGAAGAAACAAAAAAGAGGGGAAGCTAAATTTCTAAGGCAAACTTTATCAATAAGATACAATAAAACAGGCGTTATCTTGTTTAACTGTGAATAATTACCAAGACTGTATTCATTTGTTTTCCATGTAACTTAGAAAATTGTGTTTCTCACTTCTGGACATTTCTGGGTATTTGGCTTACAATTCAGTGCTTTTTCTTACATAGTAGACAGTGGATCTTAGCTTCAAATAAACGATATGGTATTACATGAATACAAAGTTAAAGAGCATCCATATTTTATTTAGTTGCAAGCCTGCATAATAACTAATAGACAATTCTATTTAAACTAAGTCTTAATCTTAATGCCTATAGTAAAAGGAGAACACTTAACACAAGAAAGCACTGCAAGCAGCTTTTCATCTTGTGCAGAAAATCCATTATACTATGGATAGTTTTAAAGGAA